GATAAGAGCTTCAGTCAAATGTTTCCAAATCCTGCACTTTAATTTAAACTGAAAAAAGGGTACCCTCACTTTTTGGGAATAGAAGCATTGTTGATACTGTTTTTTGTGTTGAGGTTGAACTTTTCACTGTATGTTTATGGCCTTTGCTATTTCTATAGCCTAATTATAGGCAATGAGGTTTCATGTATATTGACTTATTCATAAAAGACAGTGTAGTTCCTCTTTTTTTCTTTTAAAAGATAGAATTTTTGTAAGAGCTACAAAAGTTGTCAGTTCATAAATGCAAGTTAATTTCTTTGTGTAAATAAGATTTGTGTGATAAAAATGCACAATTAAGCTATATATCACATGCTGAAGTACATTTCTGAAGTGTTAAAGATTAAAAGAAAAAAAAAATAACAAGAACCGTACAGAACCGAAAACCGTGACACTAAAACCGTGATACAAACCGAACCGTTGGTTTCGTGAACCGTGCCACCCCTATCCTTTATTAGACACTAACATCCAGAGCAAGGTTTTGTGTTTTGGGATCGGTCCTCCTGGATTAATCTGTAAGGTTGAGTGTCAAGGACGTCCCTTTGTAGGATTTGAACCTTGTTCAAAATTGGTCAGTTGTGTGCTTGGACTGGTCAGTTGTGTGCTTGGATTGGTCAGTTGTGTGCTTGGATTGGTCAGTTGTGTGCATTGATTGGTCAGTTGTGTGCATGGATTGGTCAGTTGTGTGCTTGGATTGGTCAGTTGTGTGCTTGGATTGGTCAGTTGTGTGCGTGGATTGGTCAGTTGTGTGCTTGGATTAGTTAATTGTGGGCTTGGATTGGTCAGTTGTGTGCGTGTGTGGATTGGTCAGTTGTGTGCTTGGATTGGTCAGTTGTGTGCATTGATTGGTCAGTTGTGTGCATGGATTGGTCAGTTGTGTGCTTGGATTGGTCAGTTGTGTGCTTGGATTGGTCAGTTGTGTGCTTGGATTGGTCAGTTGAGTACTTGGATTGGTCAGTTGTGTGCGTGGATTGGTCAGTTGTGTGCGTGGATTGGTCAATTGTGGGCTTGGATTGGTCAGTTGTGTGTGTGGAGTGGTTAGTTGTGTGCTTGGATTGGTCAGTTGTGTGCTTGGATTGGTCAATTGTGGGCTTGGATTGGTCAGTTGTGTGGGTGGATTGGTCAGTTGTGTCCGTGGAGTGGTCAGTTGTGTGCTTGGATTGGTCAGTTGAGTACTTGGATTGGTCAGTTGTGTGCTTGGATTGGTCAGTTGTGTGCTTGGATTGGTCAGTTGTGTGCTTGGATTGGTCAGTTGTGTGCTTGGATTGGTCAGTTGTGTGCTTGGATTGGTCAGTTGTGTGCTTGGATTGGTCAGTTGTGTGCTTGGATTGGTCAGTTGAGTACTTGGATTGGTCAGTTGTGTGCGTGGATTGGTCAGTTGTGTGCGTGGATTGGTCAATTGTGGGCTTGGATTGGTCAGTTGTGTGTGTGGAGTGGTTAGTTGTGTGCTTGGATTGGTCAGTTGTGTGCTTGGATTGGTCAATTGTGGGCTTGGATTGGTCAGTTGTGTGGGTGGATTGGTCAGTTGTGTCCGTGGAGTGGTCAGTTGTGTGCTTGGATTGGTCAGTTGAGTACTTGGATTGGTCAGTTGTGTGCTTGGATTGGTCAGTTGTGTGCTTGGATTGGTCAGTTGAGTACTTGGATTGGTCAGTTGTGTGCGTGGATTGGTCAGTTGTGGGCTTGGATTGGTCAGTTGTGTGCTTGGATTGGTCAGTTGTGTGCTTGGATTGGTCAATTGTGGGCTTGGATTGGTCAGTTGTGTGGTGGATTGGTCAGTTGTGTCCGTGGAGTGGTCAGTTGTGTGCTTGGATTGGTCAGTTGAGTACTTGGATTGGTCAGTTGTGTGCTTGGATTGGTCAATTTTGGGCTTGGATTGGTCAGTTCGTTGTGTGTGTGGATTGGTCAGTTGTGTCCGTGGATTGGTTAATTGTGTGTTTGGATTGGTCAGTTGTGTGCTTGGATTGGTCAGTTGTGTCCTTGGATTGGTCAGTTGAGTGCTTGGATTGGTCAGTTGAGTACTTGGATTGGTCAGTTGTGTGCGTGGATTGGTCAGTTGTGTGCTTGGATTGGTCAGTTGTGTGCATTGATTGGTCAGTTGTGTGCATGGATTGGTCAGTTGTGTGCTTGGATTGGTCAGTTGTGTGCTTGGATTGGTCAGTTGTGTGCGTGGATTGGTCAGTTGTGTGCTTGGATTAGTTAATTGTGGGCTTGGATTGGTCAGTTGTGTGCGTGTGTGGATTGGTCAGTTGTGTGCTTGGATTGGTCAGTTGTGTGCATTGATTGGTCAGTTGTGTGCATGGATTGGTCAGTTGTGTGCTTGGATTGGTCAGTTGTGTGCTTGGATTGGTCAGTTGTGTGCTTGGATTGGTCAGTTGAGTACTTGGATTGGTCAGTTGTGTGCGTGGATTGGTCAGTTGTGTGCGTGGATTGGTCAATTGTGGGCTTGGATTGGTCAGTTGTGTGTGTGGAGTGGTTAGTTGTGTGCTTGGATTGGTCAGTTGTGTGCTTGGATTGGTCAATTGTGGGCTTGGATTGGTCAGTTGTGTGGGTGGATTGGTCAGTTGTGTCCGTGGAGTGGTCAGTTGTGTGCTTGGATTGGTCAGTTGAGTACTTGGATTGGTCAGTTGTGTGCTTGGATTGGTCAATTTTGGGCTTGGATTGGTCAGTTCGTTGTGTGTGTGGATTGGTCAGTTGTGTCCGTGGATTGGTTAATTGTGTGTTTGGATTGGTCAGTTGTGTGCTTGGATTGGTCAGTTGTGTCCTTGGATTGGTCAGTTGAGTGCTTGGATTGGTCAGTTGAGTACTTGGATTGGTCAGTTGTGTGCGTGGATTGGTCAGTTGTGTCCATGGAGTGGTTAGTTGTGTGCTTGGATTGGTCAGTTGTGTGTCGTGGATTGATCTATTGTGTGCTTGGATTGGTCAGTTGTGTGCTTGGATTGGTCAGTTGTGAGCTTGGATTGGTCAGTTGTGTGCTTGGATTGGTCAGTTGTGAGCTTGGATTGGTCAGTTGTGTGTATGGATTGGTCAGTTGTGTGCTTGGATTGGTCAGTTGTGTGCTTGGATTGGTCAGTTGTGAGCTTGGATCGGTCAGTTGTGTGCTTGGATTGGTCAGTTGTGAGCTTGGATTGGTCAGTTGTGTGCTTGGATTGGTCAGTTGTGAGCTTGGATTGGTCAGTTGTGTGTATGGATTGGTCATTTGTGAGCTTGGATTGGTCAGTTGTGTGCTTGGATTGGTCAGTTGTGAGCTTGGATCGGTCAGTTGTGTGCTTGGATTGGTCAGTTCTGTGCATGGATTGGTCAGTTGTGTGCTTTGATTGGTCAGTTGTGTGCTTGGAGTGGTTAGTTGTGTGCTTGGATTGGTCAGTTGTGTGTCGTGGATTGATCCATTGTGTGCTTGGATTGGTCAGTTGTGTGCTTGGATTGGTCAGTTGTGTGCTTGGATTGGTCAGTTGTGTGCTTGGATTGGTCAGTTCTGTGCATGGATTGGTCAGTTGTGTGCTTTGATTGGTCAGTTGTGTGCTTGGAGTGGTTAGTTGTGTGCTTGGATTGGTCAGTTGTGTGTCGTGGATTGATCCATTGTGTGCTTGGATTGGTCAGTTGTGTGCTTGGATTGGTCAGTTGTGAGCTTGGATTGGTCAGTTGTGTGTATGGATTGGTCAGTTGTGTGCCTTGGATCGGTCAGTTGTGTGCTTGGATTGGTCAGTTGTGTGCTTGGATTGGTCAGTTGTGTGCATGGATTGGTCAGTTGTGTGCTTGGATTGGTCAGTTCTGTGCATGGATTGGTCAGTTGTGTGCTTTGATTGGTCAGTTGTGTGCTCGGATTGGTCATTTGTGTGCTTGGATTGGTCAGTTGTGTGCTTGGATTGGTCAGTTGTGTGCTTGGATTGGTCAGTTGTGTGTATGGATTGGTCAGTTGTGTGCTTGGATTGGTCAGTTGTGAGCTTGGATTGGTCAGTTGTGTGCTTGGATTGGTCAGTTGTGAGCTTGGATTGGTCAGTTGTGTGCTTGGATTGGTCAGTTGTGAGCTTGGATTGGTCAGTTGTGTGCGTGGATTGGTCAGTTGTGTGCTTGGATTGGTCAATTGTGTGCTTGGATTGGTCAGTTTTGTGCATGGATTGGTCAGTTGTGTGCATGGTTTGGACAGTTGTGTGCGTGGATTGGTCAGTTTTGTGCATGGATTGGTCAGTTGTGTGCGTGGATTGGTAAGTTGTGTGCGTGGATTGGTCAGTTGTGTGCTTGGATTGGTCAGTTATGTCCGTGGATTGGTAAGTTTTGTGCGTGGATTGGTCAGTTGTGTGCTTGGATTGGTCAGTTGTGTGTTTGGATTGGTCAGTTGTGTGCTTGGATTGGTCAGTTGTGTGCGTGGATTGGTCAGTTGTGTGTTTGGATTGGTCAGTTGTGTGCTTGGATTGGTCAGTTGTGTGCGTGGATTGGTCAGTTGTGTGCTTGGATTGGTCAGTTGTGTGCTTGGATTGGTCAGTTGTGTGCATAGATTGGTCAGTTTTGTCCATGGATTGGTCAGTTGTGTGCGTGGATTGGTCAGTTGTGTGCCTGGATTGGTCAGTTGTGTGTGTGGACTGGTCAGTTGTGTGCTTGGATTGGTCAGTTGTGTGTATGGATTGGTCAGTTGTGTGTGTGGACTGGTCAGTTGTGTGCTTGGATTGGTCAGTTGTGTGTATGGATTGGTCAGTTGTGTGTATGGATTGGTCAGTTGTGTGTATGGATTGGTCAGTTGTGTGCGTGGATTGGTCAGTTGTGTGCATAGATTGATCAGTTTTGTCCATGGATTGGTCAGTTGTGTGCGTGGATTGGTCAGTTGTGTGCTTGTGATTGGTCAGTTGTGTGCGTGGATTGGTCAGTTGTGTGCTTGTGATTGGTCAGTTGTGTGCGTGGATTGGTCAGTTGTGTGCTTCTTAAGTCGTAGTTGTCAAGAGCAATTTTGTCATTTTTCCTTCTGACTTTAGAGGCATTCCTGGGAAGAACTGTGGAAGTATTGTTGTGAAAGCTGAAGAACTTGGAAACTGTAGGGTACGTCATCTGACTTTGAATATCTTTTCGTCTTATCTCGTCTTTTTCTCTTCTCTCCAATATTCTATCGTCTTTTTCTTGTCCCTTCATATCTTCTCTTTTCTCTTCTTGTCTCATTTGTTTGGTTTCTTCTCATATTGTTTCTTCTTTTCTCAATTTCACGTCTTCCTTTCTCGTTTTGTCTCTTATATTCTTTTTTGTGTCTTGCCTTATTTCTTGTCCAGCCTTTTTGTCTTCTTTTCTTTTCTCATTTTTCCGTGATCTATGTGTCTCCGCCCGTGCTCTTTGTCCTGATCTAGTCTTGCCTATGTTGAGTCTTTTCTTTTTTCTCATCTCTTCTCATTTCATCTCAATGCTTCTTGTCTTGTTTATTATCTCTTCTCCTCCTCATTTTTTCTCAACTCTTTTCTCCTCTTTTTGCATTTGTCATATTTTCTTCTTTTCTTGCTTTCCTTTTTCAACTTGTCTCGTTTCTTCTTGTCTGGTCACCTTCTTTTCTCTTCTCTTTGCAGTTTGTGCTTCTATGTGAAAGGTTGTTCAATATTCTCCATTATGCCACCATTAGTTGCTAATGTGTTTTTTGTTGATCAGGAGTCAGTACTGATGCAGTTTTGTGGCAACAAACTGGACAAGAAAGATTTCTTTGGAAAGTCAGACCCTTTCCTGGTCTTTTACCGTAGCAATGGAGATGGAACGTAAGTTTTTCATTGTTCTCCACATTTCCCCATTAGACACAGTTCATAAAATACAGACTATTTAATGCGCTTACATACTGTACAGTGCCTCCAGGGGGGCGGGGGGTGTAGGGGGCATGTCACTGGGCCAGTGAAAAGTACAGTAGCTGAACAGTCGTGTTTCCACCCATCTATTTTGATATGCATTTTCAAAGTGCTGAATTTAAAAAGATAAATTCAAGAGACATTTCTTCTCTAAATGTGTTTCCATCAGTTTCTTTTGGTCAAATAATAAAATGAAATTTATGCACATTTTGGAGATTTTATTCACATCTTGCTCATCTAGAACTTTAAAAAGATGGCTCTACATGCAAAGATGTAAAGAGGAATAAAATATATGAATGCAAATCGCTGTGGATATTTTCATATTTCAGTAAACCAGGGCCATTGAAGTGTAAGTAGGCCTATATTCTCTATATGCGGCTAGCAGTCAAATCCAATAGATCGTCGCCAAACCGTGGCATGACACACATTGTAGCTGCATCTCTTCTACTTCTTAATAATTTTGTAAACATTTCACATGGATATAGCAAGTTATTGACACGATTATCATTATTATAGTTAATCTATGAACATATGAACATATCTTTCAGTAGTGTGTGAGATGGGGGATCGGATTTCCAGATCCAGCTTGTTCCAGAACAGATTAATCCCTGCTTATATCAGATCTATTTCAATTTTTTAAGTCTAATATTGTGGTTATGTTTGATGCCCATTTAATATCTTGTCTTTGAACCTGGTCTCGGCCTTCAATGACACTTTTTGACACGCGGTAAATGATGCATGTTTGATAAGAGCCCTTTTCACATCCCCAATGTTGTGGTTCCTTCACTTTGACATGTTTGTTTGTCAGATTTACCATCTGTCATAAGACGGAGGTGGTGAAAAACACACTGGACCCTGTGTGGCAGGCCTTCAAGATCCCAGTCAGAGCGCTGTGTAACGGGGATTATGACAGGTGGGTCCGCCGGTTTACTTCTGAGCGTCAGCTTGGTTCGGAATGACGCGACTCAGAAACACAGTCTTTACGTCTTCTTACTGTAGTAGCAATTTTGCACATTTTTATGAAAAACTCAAATGAATAAAGACACACCTGTATTATAGCCATTCAAAAAAAACTGGAAAAGTGTAATATAAATAAAAGTCTTTACTGTCACTTTTGATCAATTGAATGCAGCCTTGCTCAATACAAGTATTAAAGGGATAGTTCACTTTGAAATTAATTTTCGATGTGTTTTATCTTACCTCAAGGGCATCCAAGATGTAGGTGTCTTTGTTTCCACAGTGTTTTTAATTTTGATATTTTTAGGTCAAACCGTTCTTGTCTGTCAGTCATATAATGGAGGTCTATGGTCACCACCTAAAGAAGTCCAAATTAAACATGATTTAATGACTCGTAAATGTAAGTACACATTGATGGCCTAAGACACGAAACGAGCGGTTTGATAACTTCCGGCGCTTGCGTAAACCGAAGCACCCGTGCCTTCAGATCACTTGGACGTGGCTGTGGTTACATGAGGTAAAAACGATATAAATACTGTTAGTTTTCTCACACAAACCGCTCGTTTCGTGTCTTAGGCCATCAATGTGTACTTACATTTACGAGTCATTAAATCATGTTTAATTTGGACTTCTCTGTGCATGCTCTTTGGCTACGTTCACACTGCAGGGCTTAATGCTCAATTCCGATTTTTTGAAAAAATTCGATTTTTTTTGCGACCTTTTGTGATCTCCTATGTGAACGTGAAATGACCCCAGAAGTGACCCGCATGCGCAGAAGAGTAATGAACGGTCAACGACGTCACTTGTTGTTTGCAGAATAGTTCTTTTTTTTCCATATGTTGCGAGCTTTTGTTTTATTATTATTATTGCCACAGCCCATATACAAACACAGACAATAATTATTTTATCGACGGCCAAAGTTCGCACATAAATGTAAGATTTTTCCGATCCTCACTGACCTCGTCATAAAACCCGTTTAATTGATAGTGCGCGTCCTCGGCGCTCCTTGCTTTGTCGCCGGCGGCCGCGGTGCGACACTGGTGGCTGGTGTTGCCAGATTGGGTGTTTTTTCGCTACATTTTAAGGCATGTTTACATGTGTTTTAGCCAGGTTTTAGCCTACTGTACGAAGTTATACTGACAGAGAGCGCACTTTCACAGACACCAGAATGAACGTGTTCTCAGTAATGTTCATCAGGCAGTAATACAGTATATGAACGCGTTCAGGCACAACACTGGGGAAGAGACTCGTCTGCAGCGGCCCATAACAGTGCAGAAACGCGTTGGAGTTAGCGTGTATTGGCTGGCTACAGGTGCGTGCAATGACGTGCGGGTCGGATATATGTGAACTGGCCGTTCAGATTGAAGTCGCATTTCAAAAGATCGGATACATATCGGATTTGGACCACATACCCAAGTGGCCTGGGTCGCATTTGAAAAGATCGGATCTGTGTCGTTCAGACTGTCATGAAAAAATCAGATACAGGTCGCATAGGGGCAAAAAAATCGGAATTAGGTCATTTCAGCCTGCAGTGTGAACGTAGCCTTTGAGGTGGTGACCATAGACCTCCATTATACGACTGACAGACAAGAACGATTTGACCTAAAAATATCAAAATCGAAAATACTGTGGAAACAAAGACACCTACATCTTGGATGCCCTTGAGGTAAGCTAAAACATATCAAAAATTAATACTTTATTAACACTAAATTAATACTTTATTTTGCTTTGTTTGCAGAGCAATAAAAATCGAGGTGTATGACTGGGACAGAGATGGAGGGTAAGAAAACAAACAACCATTCTATAAATACTAAAAATAAGACACATCTCAAGATATTGAAGGAGATGTGTGTGTGTTTTCAGTCATGACTACATTGGAGAGTTCAGCACCAGCTACAGGGAGCTCTCCAAAGGCCACTCTCAGTTTACTGTGTGGGAGGTGAGCCACTTTCATCTTCTCCATGTATTTTTCACACTCGCCTGCTTAAAATAGCATACATGTCTTCTTGAACTATCCAAGACTTTAATGCAGACATTAACAGTGGGGGGCAAAAAAGTATTTAGTCAGCCACCAATTGTGCAATTTCTCCCACTTGTAAGCCTGTAATCTCCACAGGTACTCGTCTACTATGAAAAAACAAAAATCCCAAAAATCACATTGTAGGGTTTTTAATGAATTTATTTGCAAATTATGGTGGAAAATAAGTATTTGGTCACCTACAAACAAGCAAGATTTCTGGCTCGCACAGACAGCGTTTGTGTTCTTTAAAGTGTGTGTCGTCAGTAGATCATGTGCAGAACTTTACACTCCCATCGGTGCTTTTTAGGGCCCGAGCACTAACGGTGCGAGGACCCTCTTGAAACTGTTAGGGTTATTTTTTTATTTTTTTATTTTTTATTTTTTATTTTTTCTGCAAAGTAAGCGCCATTTTCGGGGCCTCAACATGCTCAAAAACTCACCAAATTTGGCACGCATGTCAGGACTGGTGAAAAATTTCGTATTTTGTGGGTTTCGCGGATGGGCGTGGCAAAATGGCACGCAAGCGCCACCTAGAAAATTGGAAAAAATTAGCCCCTCGTCCACGTTCAACCTACATGCACGAAATTTGGTGGGGATGTGTATCATATCAAGACGCACAAAAAAGCCTCAAGAACCCATACCCTAAACTCGACAGGAGGTCCGCCATTTTGAATTTGGCGGCCATTTTTGGACGATTTACAGACTCCGTACTTTAACGAACTCCTCCTAGGGATTTAGTCGGATCGACTTAAAATTTCTGCTGTGCCTTCTAAAGGCATTGACGATGTAAAGTTGTGCTATCTGCGCGTTTTCGTCGATGGGCGTGTCCGTTGCGTCGATGATTCGCCATGAAACAGGAAGTTGTAGTAACTTGGCTGTAAATGCCCAGATCTGCACAAAATTTTACACATTTGACAAGAGTCCCGCCCTGAACAAATCTACATGCCGACATTCACCCACAGTCATAGCGCCACCTATTGACAGCAGGAAGTGACCTTTAACGAAGCAGTACCCGTCGCATGTTTGACCGACATGTACGAAATTTCTGTGGTACATCTACCATGTCCAGACACACAGAAAAGTCTCTTGGAGCGTTGCCCTAAACTCAACAGGAAGTCGGCCATTTCTAATTTTACCGCCATTTTGGGATGATTTACTCATTACGTACTTTAACGAACTCCTCCTAGGGATTTAGTAGGATCAACTTCAAATTTCTGCTGTGCCTTTTAAAGGCATTGACGATGTAAAGTTGTGCCATCTGCGCGTTTTCGTCGATGGGCGTGTCCGTGGCGTCGAAGATTCGCCATGAAACAGGAAGTTGTAGTAACTTGGCTGTAAATGCCCAGATCTGCACAAAATTTTACACATTTGACAAGAGTCCCGCCCTGAACAAATCTACATGCCGACATTTACCCACAGTCATAGCGCCACCTGCTGTCAATAGGAAGTGACCTTTAATGAAGCAGCGTAGCAAATTCACAGCCGCACCGGCTGAGCTGCAAAATATACAACGCGGCCGCCTCAGACTCCAACGTGCTACAGGTGCGAGGGCCCGCCCATTGCTGCTTGCAGCTTTAATTTTTTTTTTGGTGTTGCGCTTTCACGCTAATTTGCCTTGTTCAGTAAATCTGGCCCTAAATGCACTGATATACAGTAACTCTTGCCCTCTTACTTATTACCCTCCCTTTGAAACCTCATCTTTTTTAGTGTTTTGTATGACCTCCACATCACTGAAGCATAAATCATCCCTATGACAAGAACACTTATCAAAAGTGGCCACCGCACAAGATAACAGCGAGAGGTCTAGCAAACGTCTCCGAACGTTCATCTCCACCAAGAGCTTCCGCTGATCTAGTTTTCACACAATCATTATCCATCATTATTACAGTCCAGAAACTCTTCACAGTCAGTGCATGCATTTCTTTCCACGTAATTCACGCAGTAGTGTGCCTATATTCACATACTGTGGCAAAAGTGAGAATATGCTGGATATATTTGACATTTTGGAGATTCAACCACATTTCAAAAACTGATTTTGCTGCCTTTCTGTAGGTGGTGAACCACAAGAAAAAGAAGAAGAAGAAGAAATATCTAAACTCAGGAACCGTGAGTGCATTTTTAACTCGATCTTCCCGTTTAATTAACGAAGAAAAAAAAAAAGTACTAACTTACTAGTTCTAACAAACAAACATCCTTATTGGTAAGACTTCTTATAGAAGGTCCTACATTATATCTTCATAAGCAATGCACAATGCGTTCATAAGCTGTGCATATAAATATTCATAAATGTTGATGTAGCTCATCATTGGCTGTGACTCTAGAGAGTTACATCATCACCCTGAGCATGAATATTGATATGACATTTATGATTAAAGTATGCATTGCTTATCGAAAGTGTGATGATGCCCTTTAGGACTCTACATAGGAAGTGTTACCAAACTTTCATGTCGACAGGTCACTCTGCTGTCCTGCTTCATTGATGTTGAGGTCACGTTCCTGGACTACATCAAAGGAGGGTGAGTGTGTGTGTGCAGTACATCAATAAATACATTTTATAGCGTATGAAAGGTATATATGATATGCAAATATATACGATTTTATTCTGTGGTGAACAAACTTCCATAATGCATATTTTACTGTTAATTTTACAGTAAAATACAGTTAATTTATAGATTTTTGTGTATATGAAATACTATGCAAAAATAAATGTGAGTAATTCAACATTTGAGTAAATCAACAGAATTTGATTACCGTAAAACCATGTTTAATTTGAAAAGTGGCATCTAGTTATATAACTAATTGATACGTCGTTCTAGAAATTGTGGATTCTGCATCTTACGTATTTAGCGAATGTGACGTCATCCGGGTATTCCATGCATACAGAAGTACGGTACGAACAAACATGCTCAAGCTCATCTACTGAGACTGGAAACACATCGCTGTGCCTCACCATCCATTAATAATTCCCTCTTCCTTCCCCTCGCCTTTCTCCACGTCAAACACACACACACTTTCACAGGGAGTGCACTGCATTATGATGCTGTAATAAACTGAGCTATAAATAGTCCGCTCTATTCTGAGAGACACAGAGACCCCAGGCACATGACCTGGCCTTCAAACAGTTGAGAAAACACTGGAAATATCGGCAGAATAATTCAAAGGATACTCCTGTGGAAAATTCTTACAGACACTTTGCGAATATCGCTGCATGCGCATTCTGTTTAAAAGACAGAGAGAATAGTAGAAACAAAGAGATGCTCTCAGGGAATAATTTCCTTCATTTCTGCCCACAGATTAAATTGAGCTGAGACATAGTTTCACACAGTCAGCTCACTGGAGATTTCACCGAGGAGCTTTATTCTGCTATGATAAGCATCATATATTTTATGTTATGATACATATGTGCTCACTCTAGTGTTTTTGCTCTGTTCACTTGCAGCACTCAAATTAATTTCACGGTGGCGATTGATTTTACTGCGTCAAACGGTGAGCTTACATTACTGAAAAATTGCATTTCAAATAAAGAAAACATCATGTCCTTGTTATGATAATGGCTTATTTTTATCTCTGGTATGTAAATTTAATCTTTATGTATATGTTTATGTATTTGTACTTCTAAAATACTTTCAAGAGATCATTATTTTCCCACCCTACACCAAATCACCAATTATAAATGTGTAACCTTCCAAAGATCTTAGAGTTGTGTTAAAAGTGCACAGAATTTGTACTGATACTGTGTCAAAAATGTCTCAATTAAAAGTCACAGATAGGATCCACATTTAATTATACTGTACTGAAGTATTTAAAAGTTAAAATGAAACGTATCAAAAACAAGAGGCGGTAGAGAATGTCTCACAATTTTCTCATTGTAAAACTCTAGGACAGTTGATGTTAAACTGAAAGCAATATCCACAAGTCTGTTACCTGACTATTTTTAATTACAAGTCACATTCAATTACCAGTCATATTTCTTTTTCAAGACATGAATATTACAGTGTTAGAATGGCTAGCATTTAATCATACATTATTATTTACAGTAAAACCAAAAATAATCACAGATTATTTACCCATAATGTTAAACTATTCAGCTTAAAGGGATACTCCACTTTTGTTTTTTTTTGTTTTTTTTTGGAAATAGGCTCATTTTACAACTCCCCGAGTAGAAAGTTAAACGGTTGAGTTTTACCGTTTTCGAATCCATTCAGCCGATTTTTTGATATTTAGAAGAATATCAGTATCCAGATAGTTTCTGGTCTCATTGACTACCAGTAGGAAAAAAAATATATACTTTGGAAGTCAATGAGACCAGAAACTGTCTGGTTACTGATATTCTTCTAAATATCAGAAAATCGGCTGAATGGATTCGAAAACGGTAAAACTCAACTGCTTAACTCTGGGGGAGTTGTAAAATGAGCCTATTTCCAAAAAAAGTGGAGTATCCCTTTAAAAGAGCTAATTTAATGGTACACATAATGAATTACTGCTAAATACCCTTAGTTGTAAGTGCTCAAAATACACTCTTAAGATAATGGACGATAGTTTATTATTCTAAAAAGGGGAAAATTCACTGCATAACTAGGCTGAAAAGAAACTTCTCAGGTTACACATGTAACCCAGTTCCCTTAGAGGGGAACGAGACCGTGTCATGTTGTTGACGCTATGAGAACAACACTATAGTCCATTACCGAAACCATAAATATATACCTGAGCAGTGCGTCGTCAGGTTCTAATTGTCTGAAAAAACACAGTCTTATCCCAAGAAGTCATATAACTGACGTATTGGGACTTCTTTTGACCATACGTCAACATCCGCCTTTTTAGGGTACCCTTAAACGTCGGTTACATGACGATCCCGGGCCGTCATACAACTGACGCTTTACCTTTAAAGTCGGTTAGGTGATGGGGTCGGTTTAGGGGTAGGTTTAGGTCTGGGGTAGGGTTAGGGTCCGATAATGTCATCTAACCGACGTTTAAGGGTACCCTAAAAAGGCTGATGTTGACGTATGGTCAAAAGACGCCCCAAGACATCAGTTATATAAAGTCTTGGGGTGAGACTGCGCTGAAAATGCACAGGCATAGCCAGGGAGTGGCAACATGACAAGGCATCTCGTTCTTCACTCAAGGATCAGGTTACATATGTGACCTGAGATGTTCCCTTTCGAGTGGGACTCAATGCAGCATCATGGCGTTGACGCTATGAGAACTTCAATGCCGCCACACCGTGGGATAGTGCCTGCCCAACAAGACTGTATATGTGCACTGACAGTTATTGAACCCAGGCTGAATCCAGATCTACCTAGATAAGGATTTGAGACCCTGGGGCTAAATCTGCATCCAGACTATAAAACCTGATGAATGTGTTCGGAGAGGACCATCCTGCCGCAGCACAGACGTCTTGTAAGGATGCACCCCTGGCAAGAGCTTTGGAACACTCCTAATGGAGTGGACCCCAACCCTTAGAGGCAAACCCATATCGCATGCCTTGTTGGAGAGGGAGATTGCGTCAGTGAACCTTTGAACGAGATACACTACTTGGTGATGCATTCCCTCTATTGTGGCCACCAAAGCAGACCAAAAGCTGAGAGTATTTAGGCCACTGGCTTGAGGGGTGGACACAGATCCTCAGAGCATGGACCGGATATAACAGGTGCAGACTTTCTTGCTTTTGCAGCTCATGAGCCAGAGGCAAGGAAGCCTGCAAGACCACTGGCTGACCAGCTATATAATGAACTTTTGGAATATAGTCTGGTCTAGGATGCAGTATATCTCTGACATCACCTGGAGCAAAGTCTAAGTTGGAGTTTCCAGATTTCCATCTCTCCAGCTTGGGGTGTCAGATCGTCCCCTGCACCTGAGACTCTCCCATGAAATGCCCTCTAGTAGAGATATTAGGACTAAGAACCTTACTTTGGCCGTAAAGAACAGAGCCACTTGGAGAAGGTGGATGTGGTCCTGGCAAACCCTAGCTAGAGCCCCCGGGACCAGAGCTGTCAAAGGAAAGGCGTACAGACTCAGTCTCAGCCCACGTCTGTACCATGGCATCCAGCCCCAGAAGAGCTGGAGGTGTGAGGGCATACCAGAGAAGACAGTGGGTCATCTCCTCTGAGCTGTAAAGTTAGTTCCACTTCAGCTTCACCATACCTCTGCCATATGGACTCCGGCACTTGAGGATGGAGTTGCTATTCTCCGGGCATCAGTGCCTGCCTTGACCAGATAACAAGTTTGCTTGCCCCGGAATGTAAACTACCTTCAGAGACGAGCACTTTAACTCTCCCCAGAGCAGGATCTGCTGCGCCTGGCTGAAAATGGGACACAACCGCAGCCCGTACTGGTGATTTGTGTAAAGCCCCTTTGAAACAGCACGTTGATCCCAGGAAATTGCCGGGAAATTGCCAGAACACCTTCTGTGTGAGCGCAAACATTGATGCCGAGTTGAGGACCTAGTAACATTGCCGGAATCAGTCCCGGAACGCGCGCTGTGTGAACAAAAGCCAGGACCAATGCCGTAAGGGGTGTGTCATAGTGTGTCATAGTGCCATCGCGCGACTCTGTTGCTCTTAGAAGAAAGTTTGTGTTCGTCATCAACAAAGATGAACAAATGTCTGCAAACTGGAATGAAGCAGAGACCAGGAGCTCCTCACTATCCGCGCTGAAGCTGAGGTCGTTCACCAGCTTTGTGAAATGGTATGCGTGTGTACATGTTTTCGACGCGTACGTTACACGTCTCATCCTGACGTCACGTGTCTTTCCGGGATCTTTACGAGTTGTGTGTGAACGCACTCACAGATCCCGGCAAATCACTGGCAGTGTGAATGAACCGAAATCAAACAATCCCGGGACAAATGCCGGGTCACATTATCCGTGTGTTCCAGAATCTCTGTGTGAAAGGGGCTTAAGAGAGTACCAATGTGTCTGTGTGGAATAAAACATGATAGGGGTGTTGGGACACTGGCCACCATACTTTTGTTCTTCTCTCCTACTACTGGGCCCTGGCCTGGGGCGGATCCTGGATTCAGCTTGGGATCAGTTCTCTGCACACCGGCAATTGTTTATTTGCCTCCTTGTACCTGTCGACAGTGGTGTTACAGTGGTGTGTATCCAGAAGCACAGCCTTGTTTCTTTCTTTTTTTCTCCTTGAGGTTGAGCCACCAATGCCTCTCCTTTACGACCACAACAGCCACTTACAGTAATGACCAATGGGTAACCAATGGGATTAACCTGTAGTTAATTCCTCACCATAATTCAACTCTTTAAGCAGATCCCCCTTGTAGGCCTGCAAGACCTCCAAGACCTCCATGCCTACAAATCTTTGTAGGTAAGGCAGGTTTTCTCTGCGATGATGCACTTGAGGTGGAGAGATAGCACTCAAGTGCATTTGTCTTACCCGTGCTTGCACATACCGTTCACTGTGAAGTATGTTGAGGTGGCCTGATTATGCACTCGCACAGCGTACGGATTCCTCCAAAACCTCAACACCTCATCAGACCAATCTAGATTTAATTTGGCCATGGCCCGAGGCACAACCTCCAGCAATTCTTCGAATGCGACAGATTGAGAGGACTTCTCTGCCAAAGCACCCCCCTGTCTGTTTGCTTCCAACTCTTTAGAGTCAGGCACAGACAGCATGAGTTCCTCAAGTGCAAGCACCCATGCAAGTCGCCCATTATAAAATGTGGGCACTGTATCACACATCTCCTAAATCTTAGACCTGACATTTTGAATCTAACTCCTGGTCTAAAGAGTGTAGACAACGCATTGTTCAGGCATCTATTTATGGGATTTACTTTTCTGTGTCGCACTACGTCACATCGCTACGTTATCACAATCAGCCAATCAGGAATTGCTGTGTGTTGACACATGCTTCAAACACCAGCGTCAACGCTATGATGCGCCGTTGAGTTCCTTTCAAAAGTGAACTGCAGTGACATCAAATGATCACATACTGTGTGTAGATCATCATTGAGACACAAGTTACAAAAATGGCACTATTAATTTAGAATTACCCCAAATTTAAAATCATTACAGCATACATTCTCAAATTCCAGTTTACATTTAAATGCTTTATGATTCATGTATTTTTTGCTCTATTCATCACAGGCAACCCTTCCCAGCCTACCTCTCTACACTACATGAGCCCGTATCATCTGAACGCGTATGCACTGGCGCTCAGAGCCGTGGGGGAGATTATTCAGGACTATGACACGGATAAGCTGTTCCCTGCACTAGGGTTTGGTGCAAAACTACCACCCGATGGCCACGTGTCTCATGAATTTCCCCTGGTGAGGACAATTATTTTTCAATCTATTATGAAGGTTATTAAGAAAGTACATGCTTGCATTTTATTTGTTCTCAAATGTACGCATGTTTTTGTTGAGTATCTCAGTTGCCTATTTGTCAATGAGAGTATAACCTGTCCAGTCTTGCTTTACATGTTGTCTGCTTGCAATCTGATCATACTACATGGTACTTACTGATAGGCCTCTGCTGTATGTATAGTTGTGAGCTTATTCTGAAAATATTCGGAAATATTCGGAAATATTCTGGTTCAGTCCTGCGGCATGCTATTAGAATTACTTTGCTAGGGAGGATATTATGTATGTCTACATAATAAACATTAAATTCGACAATCCTTGGGCCCAAAGAAGATACAGTGAGAAAGAGTGGGCTATGGCAGGGCTTGCATCATGGGAATGCTTTTAGTAGGGTATGGCACCTACCCAGCTCCCTGTCAAACACAAACCATACACTATACACATCTAGCTGGGCTACATGGTATTGCTGCACTTCTCCGTCTACAGCTTTTTCAGATCCACTTATTCTCCAGCAGGACCCTTAGAGCCCGCACTTAACGACTAAGTGCAACTTTTATTCCTGTGTTGACCTATTTAATATTGGTTAGGACGTATTGAGTGTGATTCTCTTTTATTCAATAGGCAGTTAGCCCCGTCTTTTCAGTTACTGTACCTTGGACAAGCAAAATAAAGGGTAAAATTAGTTAGATTATTTAATTAGGAATTAGAAAATTAGTAAAAAATCATCAGTTGATGATTAGGGAAGGAATTAAAGTAGGAATATTAGCTGTAATGAGACTGTCAATTTTAAATGCGATTATCTATTAAATGTGAATTTTGTCAACTTTTTGGAGTACATACGCATACAGATGAGCTAAAAAACATCAACCGAAAGTCAAAAGGCTGAAATTTGGATTTCACACACCCCCTAGACAACCACACCACTGGTATCCAAATATGGGCTCTTGAGGGGTGACTAACTGATAAATATGGATGAGACGGTTTATAAAGGAGATTGAAAAGGACTGATAGACATTAGCAAATGGAGATTACCCACAGCTGTCTCACATTTCTAAAGAGGACAGAATTTATTTTCTTTTCTAATTTTTCCCCCGTTCCACACCCACGAAACCGTCACAGAGAATCTATCACATAATCCCGTATACAGTGAGACACAGATCCTTCTTATTGGACCAAACAGATGCACTGCCTGCGGCTGCAGCTGCCCACACACAGCTAAAACACACACACTTTTCCTCAGGGCTGAGCACAGGAGACTCCATATGCACTCAGCAGAGCATTAAAGCTTTACTTGAATGAATAGAACTATAATCTATGGCGAAATACCACAGCAAGTGCTTGGGAGCACTTTGACTCGGCGCAGTAATTCATCACTCGTGAAAAGTCCTCTCCCTCTCCGGAGTGATGATATTACTGCGCCGGGTCCATAGATGTATATACGCCGAGTCGAAGTGCTCCCAAGCACTTGCTGTGGTACTGCACATTATAGTTATCCACGTTACACGCTTAAAAAAGCGCATCGTTTTATTTTGTGTCACCGTCCTAGGTCGAATTACACTGCTCGTGTAACTGTATTTCAATAGGGAAAACGTGGAGGTGTTTGTTCGCTTCTCTTCTTGGCCCATATTGAATGAACTGGGCTAGTTAAGTGCGATCAAAGTTTCGCCGCAAGACGGAGCGATTTATTCCACACACTGAAACGAGAGAGATATGTATCAACCCGTCTTAGTTAAGGGAATAACATAGTTTAATATGAAAAAAAAAACAGTGGAGTATCCCTTTAAGGGACATAACCCAGGGATGTGTACTGGAACCAAACACTAAACCTCTCCCATACAGCGGATTGGGGCTTAATTTAACCCCAGGCAGAGTTAACCCTGTTCCACAACTGACCCTGTATCTGAACTGTGCCCTAAACTCTTATGGAGATTGAGGCTCAATTAAACCCTAATAGCCCGGACCCTTTTTTTAAAGGGAGAGGGAAGGTAAAATCAGAGGTAGTGGATCAACACCATTAAAAACATGCTCGGATCAATACATGTTACTTATTGTTAATAAAATATCTAAAGTGGACTATCTAAATAAAGTGGTACCATGCCATCCATCCATCTTCTTCCGCTTATCCGGGGCCGGGTCGCGGGGGCAGCAGTCTAAGCAGAGATGCCCAGACTTCCCTCTCCCTAGACACTTCCTCCAACTGCTCCAGGGGGACACTGAGGCGTTCCCAGGCCAGACGGGAGACATAGTCTCTCCAGTGTGTCCTAGGTCTTCCCCGGGGTCTCCTCCCAGTGGGACATGCCCGGAACCCCTCCAGGAGGCATCCGGAACGGTTGCCCGAGCCAACTCAGCTGACCCCTCTCAATGTGGAGGAGCAGCGGCTCTACTCTGAGCTCCTCACCCTATCTCTAAGGGATCACCCAGCCACCCTGCGGAGAAAGCTCATTTCGGCCGTCTGTATCCAGGATCTTGTCCTTTCGGACTATAGGTCAGAGTAGGAACGTAGATTGACCGGTAAATTAAGAGCTTTGCCTTACTGCTCAGCTCCTTCTTTACCACAACCGACCGGTACATCGACCGCATTACAGCAGAAGCTGCAACGATCCATCTGTCAACCTCCCGTTCCATCCTTCCCTCACTCGTGAGCAAAACCCAAAGATACTTAAACTCCTCCACTTGAGGAAGGATCTCTCCACCAACCTGAAGTGAGCAAGCCACCCCTTTTCCAACTGAGGACCATAGCCTCGGATATGGAGGTGCTGATTTTCATCCTAGCTGCTTCACACTCGGCTGCAAACCGTCCCAGTGCATGCTGAAGGTCCTGTGAAGGGGCCAACACGACAATATCATCCGCAAAAAGCAGAGACGAAATTGCGTGGTCCCCAAACCTGACACCCTCCGGCCCCTGGCTGTGCCTAGAAATTCTGTCCAGAACCACCGACAAAGGGCAGCCCTGCCGGAGTCCAACATGCACCGGGAAGAAGTCTGACTTACTGCAGGCAATGCAAACCAAGCTTCTGCTTCGTACATACAGAGACGGGACAGTCCTTAGCAAAGGACCCCGGACCCCATATTCCCGGAGCACCCTCCAGAGGCCGCCTTGGGGGACATAGTCGAATGCCTTCTCCAAATCCACAAAGGACATGTGGACTGGTTGGGCAAACTCCCATGAACCCTCCAGCACCCTGTAGAGAGTATAGAGCTGGTCCAGTGTTATATGGCCTGGACGAAAACCTCCTGAATCTGAGGTTCCCCTATCGGCCGTATTCTCCTCTCCAGTACCCTTGTATGGAGTTTCCCATGGAGGCTGAGAAGTGTTATCCCCCTGTAGTTGGAAAACACCCTCCGGTCCCCCTTCTTAAAAAAAGGGGACCACCACTCCGGTCTGCCATCCCAGAGGCACCGTCCCCGACCATAATTAATGCTCAGTAAATGTATAATTACACTGTAACAAGGACACCCTAAAATGAAGTGCAACCAACATTTTAATTTGACATTATAGTCATGAAAGTGTACTCTTTAAGTACACATTATTTCATTTTTATTAAATCATATGCAAGTTTTATTAAAATATACTTAATAGATTTGAGGTATTCTACAAATGCACATTTAATATAATTAAGCAAACCTTTTCACAAGGCTCATATATACTCACTTGGCTTACATTTGTACATTTTATGTATACATCATCCTTCACTGGGATGCTAGTATTATAAACTTGTGCATATGTTTAGATGTATATTGATATGTGTACTTCCAGAATGGGAACCCAGATAACCCATACTGCAGCGGGATAGAGGGCGTTCTAGAGGCATATTACCAGAGTCTGAAGTTCGTTCGTCTCTATGGACCAACATACTTCTCCCCTGTCATTAATCATGTAGCAAGGTGAGGCCAATCGTATTCAAACATTCTTAAACACTATAACACTTGTTATTTTTGTAAACCATTGTTCATGGATGTGAAGGAGAGAATCTATGGGGAGGCAAGAAGCTAAGAACCCATGTGCAGCTTTATTGCAAATAAACATGAACCAATAGGCAAGAAACAAAGAGTTGACTTGACTAGAGACACAACCATAAACAGACATGGCAGAATCGAAGCAAGAATCTATAAAATCAACTCTTAATTAAAACTACCAAGCATAAAACATGCATATAAAAACGCAGGGTAATGATCAACTAAACAAGAAACAGGTGAGCCCAATCTGTAACCAAGAAAACAAATGGGAAAACATATCCCATTAAAGTTAGAGTTAGCATATCAAATATGCTTTGGATAAACCAATATGTACTGACCATGATAATAATGGTGGTACAATAGAAAACCAATCACATTGACACTAAAATAATGCAACAAACTTAGTAAACTCCCCTAATGTATATTACTAATCACACAAAGAAATAAAACAAAGTAAGAGTAAACTATATGATGTGCCATACAGGGACATCTGGAAATGTACTTTTACTCATTGTAAATTATATGGTAATTTATCATTTTGCCTTCAAAACGTTTTACAGTAAAAGATTTCAGTTTTTATCCCACATTTTGATATACTACAGTATTAGGCTACAAATCTTAAAATGTTATGTTATTGCATCCTATTGCCTCATTAGAGAACCAATTGTAGACAAAAAGTGCATACTTACCACAAAATGACCACAAATTGTATACCATCCAGGTACTTTTGACTTTTTTTAATGTTCTTTTCTTTTTGACACTAGGATGGATTAGATTTTTAAGGTGATTCAGCCCTGGGTCTACATGGATATGAAGTAATCAGCTTTCTTTTTTGCAGATATGCATCATTAGTAAAGGATGGTTCTGAATACTTCATCCTCCTCATCATCTCGGATGGGGTCATCTCCGACATGGCGCAAACTAAAGAATCCATCGTAAATGTAAGTTCAAAAGCACAGTTCTTGGACACATTACACCATTCAGAAAAACAAATGAAAAGACAAGTGTGGCGTATTTCGAAAAATGACAATGAACAGCTGACACCAAATTTTAATGGTATTACTTTATTTTTCTAAACAGCAAGATTTTTACATAATGACCCAATGTGTCCCAGAGGCTACGTTAAATCCAATTATTTGTGTATCCAATTGGAATTTGATCTGTTCAGATCCAACTTGTGTGTCCCGTAGCGCTCTTTTGTTTTTTGGAATACCTGCATTGGTTTCTATGGGAATCATGTTGCGTTTGGTTGGGAAACACCAAAGACAACTACAGTACAACCGCAACATGGAGGGGTTTGCATTACAGACGTCCTCTTATCTTATTCACAACATGACTACTGTGTATTCTGGGGCTGGTGTGTGTGGTGTCTCACAACATGTCTCTACTCTACCATCAAGTTTGTAACTTGGTTATGATCCTAAAATGTCAACCCTGTTTCTGTGATTTTGTTATAGACAACTGGTAATTGATTTTAAAAAGAGCTTGTAGTTTTACTGCCTTGAGCACAAGATTTCTAATGTCAAATGGGGTTTATGTGCAAGAAACTTATGTATTCTGTAGAAAGGGTTGCATCGCTATCGGTTCAGGTCCTTTGAATGTGTCTAATTAAATATAGAGCTGTTTTACTAAAGATGCCTTTAAAGGAGCTTCCTAAATATGAGCATAATCGATGTCCGCTGGAATGCAGATTGATTTCTAAAAGTTTTTTTTATTTTCTCAACATCTTTTAACATTTAATTTTTAGGTGTTCAAGCACGAAGTGCTGAAAACCTATTGTAATTGCTAGGAGAAAAAAAATCCCCTAAAACGCATCGTGCAGCCAAAAGGCCTAGAGACTTGAAACTCAGCCAGACGGTAGGCCCTCAAATTGAGGAGAACCTATCAGAGTATGAGCCCCATTGGCCCATAGGTGGCGCTACAGCAACCAAAAGTACTAAACTGCTCATAACTCCTAGACCATTTGACTTAAGTTTTCAAGCACAAAGTTCAACAAAAAAAAGTTGAACTTTGCCATTTGTTTTGCTATAACAGGGTCATTTACAATAGGGGTGTGAAAAAATGCACGCGGAAGCCTCTAAATCCTAAATAAAAACTCGGAACTTCGCAAAAATTGGTGCGCCTATGTGATATAACTTCATGAACAAGCATGCAAAATGTTATGGAAATCGGATCATAGGTGGCGCTATAACTGTCAAAAAGCTTTAAAACCATGTATTTCCATAAGGTAAATTGCCCGTATTAGCTGTAAATGGTCTTTTCCATCTATTATGTCAGTGGATAAATGTATGCTAAATAAAACTGAATGTCTTTTGATGCTTTTGTGCTTAAAGGCCTTAACTGCTTGAACACCGCTAAATGTTGCTTGCAGCTTTAATTTTCTAGCTAGATTGCTGATTGCCTTAAAACTGTAAAATGGTCATCCCTGTTTCTGTCCACCCTGTTTCCTTTCTGAAGGCATAAATGTATGTTCCCAGCATATACTGTATATGGTACGATATGCCTGATAGAATTTTTAAAAATGTAAAAAAAAAAAATGTCAAAAGAAAACTGGAAATAGCGCAAAATCATTCTTAATAAAAAAAAGTCCAAGTTTGTTTACTTTGACAACAACAGTTCTAACCACTCATCATTCTAATCACTACTAGAGATTATTGGATGAAGAATGAGACTATCATTGCACTGAATACAACAGAAGAATCTTACGCCCACTTACAGAAGTTGTTGATTTCTCTTTGTGGATCCTATTATAATAAGTATACATAATTAGAAAAATGCTCTAAATTGAATCCATTTGTCTTTCCTTCAAAACACGTCAGCCGAGACACTGAAATGTGATATTGTACAGACTGTGATGGGCAGAGACTCTTTTAATAGTGGAAAGAGTCGTTCATAATGTGTCAGTGTGCAGATGAGCAAAGAACATTAAGTGAGCTTTATGAATGTGCCTCATATTTCCATAATTACATCCCACTGGCTGCCGCCCCATGCCACTTTCCTCAAATATTTTATAAAGTAAGGCTCAAACTTTAAATAAAAAAGTTCAATCAAATTTCTAAGATATAAATATACTGCAGAATACGTAACAGGGTTGCTAGTAACAGTTACATGTTTATATATATATATATATTCAACTAAAATGGAGCCATCATTTAGAAGAGGTCTACCTCTTTGTAGTTATTGATACATATAAAGCATTAATGGTAATTTTTTCTTTCTTAAAATAACTTGGTAATAGTATATATTGACTATATACATAGTCATTTAAAGTGTTTAAAGTTAGCCATTGCTTTAAAAAACAGTTTGCACCTCAAATGTCTTACTATGACTGCAAGTCTGTTTTGTGCACGATTCATTATGCAAATGTTGAATTATATGAGGAGTGTATTCTTGGGGGTCTTGTTTTAATGAACTCTTTCCTTCTGTTCAAGGCCTCTAGTCTTCCAATGTCAATTATAATCGTTGGAGTCGGGCCGGCCGAATTTGACGGTAAGATGAGAGAGATGTGTGTGTCTTTGAGGATGTGTGAAGATGTGATATGATATCAGTCCAGTCCATCAGAGACTCAGAAGACCAGATCAGATCAAAAGAGAAACCTGTTCCACACATTCCAGTGAGACCAATCAGACATTTTCCAAAACGTCATTAGTAGTGTGTGTACTATAAAAGCTTTGATTTTCCATTGGCTCATCAGTTTATTCGTTAACTAAGCCTGCACCTCTCCTTTCATCTGGTAAATGTGTGATCCAGTTACTTTTGGTGAAAGTTGTCTCACTGCCTATTGTGGAATGGTATAATTTCATATTATTTGCATTGTAATAGCGCAATTTAATGTGAATAATTTGCACTCACTGATATTGTTGTGTGTGTGTCATGACCACTAGAAAATTTGAAAACATCCCTTTTAAATACCACCTACTTTTTGAGGACAATAACAGTGCAACATAGTAGCACACCTTCAGCCATGTTGGCATGTCCTGTCATCTGCTTGCGCTTGGCCCAGCTAGTTTCTGCTTGCAGCTATATGTTATTGTGAAATTGCTTTATGACTGTCATAAAGGTAAAAGTACACTATGTAACTTTTGGTACTCTAGCGGTTAATAAACAAAACTGCATGCGTCTTGAGGAAGGACATTGTAGCCTTTACTGTTTATATACAGTATATGACGAGTTGCGCAGGTACTGGGATAATCCGCAGTGGTTGGTTTCCCACCCAGTCTAAAATGTTCTGAATAAAAAACACTTACTCTATATATATATATATATATATATATATATATATATATATGTACACTCACCTAAAGGATTATTAGGAACACCTGTTCAATTTCTCATTAATGCAATTATCTAATCAACCAATTACATGGCTGTTGCTTCAATGCATTTAGGGGTGTGGTCCTGGTCAAGACAATCTCCTGAACTCCAAACTGAATGTCAGAATGGGAAGGAAAGGTGATTTAAGCAATTTTGAGCATGGCATGGTTGTTGGTGCCAGACGGGCCGGTCTGAGTATTTCACAATCTGCTCAATTACTGGGATTTTCATGCTTAACCATTTCTAGGGTTTACAAAGAATGGTGTGAAAAGGGAAAAACATCCAGTATGCGGCAGTCCTGTGGGCGAAAATGCCTTGTTGATGCTAGAGGTCAGAGGAGAATGGGCCGACTGATTCAAGCTGATAGAAGAGCAACTTTGACTGAAATAACCACTCGTTACAACCGAGGTATGCAGCAAAGCATTTGTGAAGCCACAACACACACAACCTTGAGGCGGATGGGCTACAACAGCAGAAGACCCCACCGGGTACCACTCATCTCCACTACAAATAGGAAAAAGAGGCGACAATTTGCAAGAGCTCACCAACATTGGGCAGTTGAAGACTGGAAAAATGTTGCCTGGTCTGATGAGTCTGGATTTCTGTTGAGACATTCAGATGGTAGAGTCAGAATTTGGCGTAAACAGAATGAGAACATGGATCCATCATGCCTTGTTACCACTGTGCAGGCTGGTGGTGGTGGTGTAATGATGTGGGGGATGTTTTCTTGGCTCACTTTACGCCCCTTAGTGCCAATTGGGCATCGTTTAAATGCCACGGCCTACCTGAGCATTGTTTCTGACCATGTCCATCCCTTTATGGCCACCATGTCCCCATCCTCTGATGGCTACTTCCAGCAGGATAATGCACCATGACACAAAGCTCCAATCATTTCAAATTGGTTTCTTTAACATGACATCACTGTACTAAAATGGCCCCCACAGTCACCAGGAGCCTCATTTATAAAACTTTGCGTAGGATTTGCAACAGAAGTGGTGTACGGATGAAACATAGGACGTGTGTACGCACAGAAATATTCAGATTTATAAAACCGTGAGCACGCACATCCTACACAGTTATCCCTTAATAAATCACAATCAATTCTAAATGTATCGCAGCTTCATGTCACGCCCATAGTTGCCCATAAATAGTCCGTGAAACGCCCACAAGTTAATATTCATCGATTGCGAAATAATGGCAAACACAGAGAGGAAAACCAAGAAACGTAACTTCTTGTGCGTCATTACGCATTGAGATGGCATCAGGGCATTTTTATACCATCCAGTTGATTGCATCTGACAAGCTACAGATGTGTTATGAGGATGAATTGCATAACACGCCAATATTATTGCAGAACATATTTCACTTTTCTTTTTACAAATATGTATTAATTTGCATTTTCTGTTGTAATCTTCGTATGATTTTGTTTGTTTTACTCTGCAGATCAATAAAACGAGTTCTTCTACACAACTGTCTACAGTTTCACACACTCTCACGTGTTTCTTCCATCTGCCGACGGTGTCGCCATTTCTCATTTCACCCGTTTTTGTGCGTACACCTGGGTCAGAGCTTGCGCGAAGGACCACACATTTTCCCGTCAAGTTTTCTTTTTATAAATACCAATTATTGCGTGGAGAGCGGCGTACGCCTTCCTTTTTGCGTACGTAATATTTTTGAGGCCCCTGATCTCAACCCAATAGAGCATCTTTGGGATGTGGTGGAACGGGAGCTTCGTGCCCTGGATGTGCATCCCACAAATCTCCATCAACTGCAAGATGCTATCCTATCAATATGGGCCAACATTTCTTAAAAATGCTTTCAGGACCTTGTTGAATCAAGGCCACCTAGAATTAAGGCAGTTCTGAAGGCGAAAGGGGGTCAAACACAGTATTAGTGTGGTGTTCCTAATAATCCTTTAGGTGAGTGTATGACTGTAGTGATTCAGGATAAGAAAGAATATGGATCCATGATGTATTTGCTTATTATATACATTTTGTGAATTTGGAAACAAAGTGGGTTGAATAGTGTACCTTTAGGGATAGTTCACCCAAAAAATGATCCCATAATGTAATCTTCCTCAAGACATCCTAGGTGTATGCGACTTTCTTCTTTCAGCCAAACACAATTGGAGTTATATTATAATACAGCGCAGTCTCATCCCAAGACGTCATATAACTGACGTCTTGGGACGTCTTTTGACCATACGTCAACATCCGCCTTTTTAGGGTACCCTTAGACGTCGGTTAGATGACGTTATTTGATCCTAACCCTACCCCAGACCTAAACCTACCCCTAAACCTACCCCGTCACCTAACCGACGTTAAAGGTAAAGCGTCAGTTATACTGTATGACGGCCCAGGATCGTCATGTAACCGACGTTTAAGGGTACCCTAAAAAGGCGGATGTTGACGTATGGTCAAAAGAAGTCCCAATACGTCAGTTATATGACTTCTTGGGATGAGACTGTGTTACATAATATCATGGCTTTTCCAAGCTTTTATTGATGCCCAAAAAAGCACATCCATCCATCATAAAAGTAATCCATATGGCTCCAGGGGGTTTGTAAAGGCCTTCTGAAGCAAAGCCATGCGTTTTGTAAGAAAAATATCCATATTTATAACTTTATAAACTATAATCACTGTCTATTTTCAGAAGAATGACCTCTGACCCAACTTTTTGGGGCTTCAAATATCAGTTAATATCCACTCCCATTATGAAGCTTGGAAGAGCCAGGATATTAAAATAAAATAACTCGGATTGTGTTTGGCTGAAAGAAGAAAGTCATGTAGACCTAGGATGGCTTGAGGGTGAGATAATTAAGGGATAATTTAAAATTGTGGGTGAACTAATCCTTTAATTTGTATCTTCAATTAGATTAAATCCCGGACTGATCCACCCTCATTTGCATAGGAGGCACATTTGCACTCATATAAACAAATTTAAACACATTTAAAAAAAGGTTTGTTTTGTGAATATTTTCTCATGCTTGTCACAGTGTGTTCTTTTTTGTTTGTTTTCATTGGACTTGTCACCTGTCTTCATGTCATTATCAGTTCATCATTATCAGTTCATATTCATCATGTTTCACCTGTGTTCTGTCAATTAATGTTCATCTGTGTTTGTATTTAGTTCCCTTCTATTCAGTCAGTCTTGGTCCGTTCAACCAAGAAATTGAAAGGATGAGCGTTCTACGCACCCTCGTTTCCAGGACGACCGCCAGATTGAAGTGTATGTTGAGCAGTTCCTGGAGATCTCTCATGGGGTAAACTGGGCAGATGATGTCCTAAAGTCTGTGTGCTGGTACGGACTGGAAGATAATCTCCACCAACAAGCTCCAGCGGCTGCTATCCCAGACACCTTAGCTCAATACCTGGATCATGTGCTGTGTTTGAGTGGCTCAACCCTCATCACCGCTCAACCACACACCCTAGCCAGCATCGTCACCACATAGACTGGATCCGTTCCAGAGTCTCATCCCACCGAGACCACCCGTCTAGAGTCTCGTCCAACCGAGATCACCCTCCCAGAGTCCGCTGTTCCTGTCCTCGTCCAGAATCCAGAGGAAATAGATTTAATAGACTTCAACACCAATATACCGACTTCCTCCATATGTTTTATCTGTCTGCCCGTAACTATCCGGTAAGCCTGCCGAGCCCGATCTTTACGTCATGCCTGTCAAGCCAGAGCTTCTTCACGACATGGCCTGGCAAGCCCTAGACTGCTCACGTCATGTCCCCCGAGCCAGAAACTGTTCACGTCTTGGCCGCCGAGCCAGAGACTGTTCACGTCATGCCCGCTAAGCCTGAGTCTTCTGTCCCCGAGCCTGAATTCCCACCCAGCCTCCCTCTCCCACCTCCTCCCATCTACCCCCTCTCAACTCTTCCTCCACCACTGCCTGTCAGCCCCTCGGCTCCTCAAACCACCTTCGGGGAGGTGGAGGCGCCGTAGGTGTGCCAGCCTGCAGCTCCAGCCTGGTTGGTGGATCCCCAGTCTCCGCCTCCAACCTCCGAGACCAGGACTCTACCTTGGCCCGTCGATCCATCAGCTCCACCTTGGCTCCTACACCCCTCAGCTCCACCGTGGCCCATCAGTTCACCAGTTCCGCCAGGCTCTCTCATCTCCCCGGATCCACATTGGTTGCTCGTCGACCAACCCTCACCTCTGGAATGCACTCCTCTGGCTATGTCTCATTTCTTCATCCCCCCAGCTCCGTTGGACTCCTCACTCCCTTCTGTTCCTCCATGGTCCTCACTCCCTCTGTCTCCTCCGTGCCCTTCTGTGCACCTCAGCTAGCGGCGTCGCCATTTCCCACCCTGGCTCGTCGGCTCCACCCTGGTCTCCTCTCCCACCTGCTTTGCCTCCGTCAGTCGGCCCCCTGGAGTCGTGAGTCCTACCTTCACCATGTTTCCTCCCTCCGTCGTCTCGGCCCTGGTCCCCGTCTACCCTCACCTGCTTTTCGTCCTCCTCCTGAGTCCCCTCTCACCCTCCACCGTTGGTCTATCTATGGCATCGAGCTACCAGGAGCGGGGAGTAATGTCACAGTTGTGTTCTGTTTAGGTCGTTTTCATTGGACTTGTTTGCCTGTCTTCATGTCACGTGGCATCATCATTATCATTTGTGTATCATTTGTATCACCTGTGTTTAGTTAATCAACATCATCAACTGTTTCACCTGTCAATCAGTGTTCATCTGTGTTTGTATTTAGTTCCCTTCTATTCAGTCAGTCTTGGTCCGTTCTCCATTGTATTTAGTGTGTGTGTATCTTCTGTCTGTCTGTAACTGTTTAAGTATTATTATTTTATGTAAAATTTTTGGACTCTTCGTCTTCTTCTGCCTGTACCTCACCGTGACAATGCTAAAGTGGTACAATTGCCCCTCATCTTTTGCAGTTGGTTTTAGTTCATTTTTCTTTCTTTTCAAAACATAAAAAACACAAAGCCCAACATTTCCAAATACAATCATATTTTTGTATTGCCATGCTCTTTTATATCCCCCTCTCTGAACTATACAAATAAATTAATAGATGCCACCTACGTCACTATGAATAGAACGCGCCATATTGTCGACCGATCTCGCCCGGTACGGCCGCCCAAACTGCCCATTTGAATGAGAGAGAAAGACAGGGATACATGGATAAAATTTTTATTTAAGGCTCCGATCCTTATTTATGACCCCCATTTCTCTTTTGTCCTTTATTGTCTTCCCCAGACTCGCCCCAATTTGCCCTCCATGATTGATATATATATATATATATCTTGTATATATCTTGTGCATTATCCTTCCCCATACATTGGGGATCGCTTGAATGCTTTCAAGAGTTCATACGTGTATCAATATGCAGTGACTGGATGGGTAAACGACGTAAAAGTGCGGTACCTGGCCACCAAGGATTTACAGTTAATCATGGAAAATGTTGGTATTATAAAAGAATATTGGTGGTAGTTTGCTCTGACTAGGTAGCAAGTTGTTAGCTAGCTAAGTGGATCAGCTGGTAGCCTGCCAGATATTAGACACGGCTCACGGCTAGCTGTCATTAATCTGGATTAGGCCTGTCAATAAATCAATTAATCGCACAATGAAAAAAAATTAGCTCTAGGATTTTTCCAGCCACGATTTCCATTTCCATTTGCATGTTTTGTTTTCCTTGTCTCTCTCTCTCTCCATCTACCAAAGAGACTGGATGACAACTCTGTTTAAGACACATATTTTACGATACATATGGATACTCTCTAGCCTGACTTTGTCATACTCATATTCTTGTCAGAATATGAGTCTGAAACTCCTCTGTAGGCCTTTGATTATGAGGTATGTCTTAACCGAACCAGGAAAAACAACAACTCTGCACTCAATAGAGTGCTGAAGTTACGATGTCACTCTGTATGCCAAAACGCGGAAGTGAGTTAGCATTTTAGCATTACGGTTCCCTCGCTCTAAAGCCTATGGGATTTTTGAATGGGTTTTTGCTAAATCGCCTGAAATAAGGTCTGGGGTGAACAAAGCCTCTAAAGATTTTCACATTTTGATCTATGACATAGAACACACAGTTATAACCTGCTGGTGTTTTTTTTTAAACTTTATTGTGTCTGATTGTGTTTTTTAAAATCTTTATATAGGCTTCAAAATGTATACATTTTTGTATTAACTTGTAAAGATTATCTTGCTAGACAAAACGTGTAAGGGTCACAACTCTTTGTTAAACACAGATCTTATTTTTTTTGCGATTTTCCAAAAGTCTATGGGGAAAATGCATTGCTTTTCGACCGAGGGAACCCATGCGCTGCTAGCTTCCGAGTTGTGACGTCATCACTTCGGCACTATTGGTTAGTCGGTAAACCTACAACCAATCAGAGCAACTCAGTAAGTCAGCTACTTTGCATACAGTTGTCAACTACAGAACGTAGCCTAACTTTACTTATTTTAGAAGTAAAATAACGAGTGTTGCTTCTTTTACTCACTCCTCCATGAGTGCGACCAAAGGAAAAACCACAACGGCCACAGGCTTTTCATTACGTCCCATCTTCTTAACGCCCGTCAGAGCCAGCTGATAAGTTACACTTTTCCCGAATCATGCGGGACGGCAAAAATATCTTTCCGATCGACAAATGCCTTGATTGCAGTTCTCTGTTTGTCTATTAAAATTAATGCGCTGTCGATTTATTTTCTCCAGCTGCAGTCATCTCTGAGGGAAACCAGTTAAGCGCTCTTTGATAACGCGATGATTATGTCCTTGCAGATCACCTGTCCATCATCCTATAAAGCCCGCCCTGGCAATTTGATTGGCCCGAACGTTTCTTGTCTGATCATAATTACTCCTCAATGGATCGAGTTCGGCTCGGGTGTGTGCGCACAGAAAATTGAGACATGATACAATATGAGACATTTCCAACTGCACGACATATTGCAGGCAATACTGAGACAGTCGGTCGTCAAGATGGCGGCGCAAAGCTACATTGACGAATAGTCTAGTTTTGTTACTTTACCTTATGACTAAATGTCTTTATGAACCTGGCGTATTGATAGTTTTGCGGTTAAATTGTAATAAATGTTCTGTACTGGGGTAGAAGTTTTGCATTCTGAAAGTTAGGGATAAACAAAGCACTAAAGAAGCTTTATTCAAGTGGGGATGCAGTGAATTGGAACAGTTTCTTTGAGAGAGTTTTACTCTCACAAACCCTTGCATTCATCCTCTTGAGTTCGTCCTCACAATCCCCAATGAAATCAGAGGATTAGTGGCGTTCTAAACAGTAGTGAGAAAAAAAAATCCAGATTTCCATTAAATAGTGCCTTTACGCCAAAATGAAAAAACTTGGTCTTTGCTGGGCTCACAATTTGTATAATGTTTGATAATTGTTTTTCCTTTAATGGAGATAAAACCTCATTTATATGCAGCTCCCGGTGTTCTCGTTATCTCGCCACAGTCATGATTTGCTCTTTGAACTCATTTCACAGCTGCTGCTGCAGCATTAAAGGATGTATTTGAACTCATATGGAATCCAATGATAGCACACTTCAGTATAACAGCCTGAGCCGAGTGAAGCACCACATGATTGTTTTTCCTGTGGCATTTTCTTCCATTTGACAGAGATGATTGAACTAGATGGAGATGAGGTCAGGATATCATCCAGGGGTCGCTTCGCAGAGAGAGACATTGTGCAGGTGAGTTTTCCAGTCGTGAATCTCATGTATCTTTGGACCAAAACAGTAAAGCAGCCTTCAAGGTGATTTTAACCATTTGAAGCAATGACCACTGACTGTATTTTTGACTCAACTGTTTGTCTGGCATCATATTTTTGAAGGGCATAACCATCATCCTTTAACATTACACACTGTAAAAATGAATGTGCTTTATCTTATCAAACAAATTGTGGCAACAGATTACAAGCAATATTATTAATTCAATTTAACAATAGAATTGAGTAATAATTAATCAAATTAATTCCTTAAAAGTTAACCATTTAAAATGAGTAAAACGTACCAAAACGAAGCGTGCATTTAAGTCACCATTGTGGTGATCAGTGTTTCAGTGACTCTGCTTGTTAACATCAGGTGTCTTCAATGGTGGTAATTTAAAATAAAGAGTTCTTTGAAATCTTTGACATCTGTCTGTTTTCAGATATTTTTGTTTATTTTTTTGGTGTAAACTTTACTCATTTTAAATGGTTCACTTTTAAGGAATAATTTAATTAATTATTACTCAATTGAAGTTAATTAATAAAATTGTTTGTAATCTGTTGCCACAATTATATTGATTAGATAAAGTGTGTGTGTATTAGCATGAGACTGCTGTGAGGTTACTTCTTTACTTGATGAAGAGTTCCAGGATTTTTTTCTTAGTTGCAAGTTCTAAGTTGACTTGAAATTACATTCACAACTAATTCTACCGCAATAGTGTGATGAATTCTTTCAATGTTATGAGATGCTAAAATTTGACTTTATTCATGAGCGATTCAGTGGATAGCAAATGGTCCTGACATGGTAATCGGGAGGGATTCAAAGATAAAAGAGCTACATCAACTGTCAAGAAAAGTTGTTTCAGAAGCAAAAGCCATAACATTTTAATGAAAAGCTGAAGACAATTTGTTTTATTATTATGTGCTCATGAATTATGCACAATGAAAATGTGTAAAATCTGCTTATCTTACATCCTTACATAATTTCACTTGAAAAAATAAGAATAAATGAAAAAATCAGATTAAGCAAAGAGTTTACCAAGATGATCCTGCCAGTCCTGTTCTCTTTAATGTACGTCAGATTACTGAGATAGTTCATCATTTACTCACACTATTGCTGTATGTCCCTCTTTCTGTTTGACACAAAAGAAGAAATTCAAATAAAACGTCCCACTCCTGCTCGTCCTCATCAAGCGACCAGCATCAAGCTTTAAAGGGTACATATCATGCTTTTAAATCATTCATTTTTACTTATAAATCATACATTTGTGGTCTATATAAAGCATAACTGCAATGCTTGGGTCTGAATTCCTCATTATTAGGGCTCCACTTCTACCCCTTTTCTGATGTGCGTCTGTGAGCGACCCGTTTCAAAGCGGCCCCTTTAAATAAAATGGAGTTGCGTCTTTCCCCGCCCGCTCTTCAGGTCGATGAGTTCACGGTCGGTTCAACTCCCCGCGTTCGGCCATTATTGTAGTTTGACAAGAGATATACGATTACTATAGATTCAAAGAACATTTTTAGTCACTCGTTAACAAAATGTCAACAACGGAAGACTTGTCCATCAAGCCTTACATATTCGAGCCAGGGCGAGCGAGTTGAAAAAGATGACGCCGAACCTGCAGAACAACGTCATCATGTGAATGCAGTGGTATGTAACATTAAGTTAACTATGTTGTGTTATTAGTGAAAGTCGCCTATTTCTCTTGTTAAAACGAGCACACTGACAAGATAAATGACTACGGTCCAATCTTACCACTAAAAATCTGTATTGATAATAATATGATAACTTACGTTTAGAAAAGCATCAGAAAACACAGCAGCTAAATGACAGAAGGAATTTACCCCTCATTCAGACGAAGTCAGTCGGCAAACCCTTCTTGATACTGGCGGAGGTTGTTGAAGTGGGGATCCTTGAAGTGCTTCAGGTCACTACATCCAAGAACCGAACATTTTGACTTGCCCTCTCGTAACTTCTGCATCATTGAGCTCGGACTACAAAATCGGAGAGAGAAATAATAATGGCGGATTGCTCGAAGTGTTGGACCGGTAGTCGATGTCCTTATTTGGCAGTTCCGCTGCAAATACTGTGACGTGATAGTTCAAAAAACGTCATAGAGAACAGAAAAATCTGAACAGGTTGAAAAATATGACCAAAACAGAATATAAAGATATAAACGAAGCACCTGAAGAGAATAATTTCATCTTTTCTGTACTTATAAACACTCCAAATATACAACAAAATGCATTTAAGGGCTAAAAAAGTGGATTTTGCATGATATGTCCCCTTTAAAAAAAGATGCCAAAGTGTCATAGAATGACGCATTTTAGTCTTAGTCTTGATTTCTCACAACTTGTGTGTTTTCCTGGGTGAGTCGGAGTGAACCAAGTGATTAAGGCCAAGGGATGTTATTATCGTTAAATAATACATTACATTTTCGTATATAACCCCAGAACACATCGATTATTAGACACGTGTCACACGGGATCATTCTCTGATACTTCTGTGTCTTTTTTAAAAGTTTGATGCTGGTCGTTATTCACTGTACACTGTACAATGGATGAACGCAAGTGGGACATTTTTAACAGATTCTCCTTGTTGTTTATTACAACACCAGGGTGAGTAAATGATGTATTAATTATCAATTTAGGGTGAACTATTCTTTTGAGACATAAATGCGACGATTTTTGCTTAATTCGGACTTTATTGCAAAATTGGATTACAAATATTTCAAAAATGTTCAAAAAATCTCTTGGATATGAGATAATGTTACAACATAGTATAAGGGTAACGCACATTTCTGCGTTTAAATGCTTTACTGCCATTGTGGAAAAAAAGTACAGAGAAATTATATACTTTAAAATAAGCGTTTCTTTGAGTGTTTTTGGACACTTAACTGCATTTAGATTGCAATTCGATTAAAACATATTATAGGTTAAATTTATGTTAGTTGCAGTTAGCTAGTAAGAACATTGTTATATGTCATTTCATAATTACACCTCTTCTTTTGTCACATTGTTAACGTGTACTGGTAAAAGGATTTGAGGTAAAATAAAATATAATTTGTAATTTCTATTGAAACTTGTATGATGTATTTAAATATATTTATATCCAAATAACACACACTGTAAAAAAATATTGTTGGTTTAACTTAAAAAAGTAAGTAACCTGGTTGCCTTAAAATTTTAAGTTGATTGAACTGGAAAAAGTGAGTTAATACAATGAAGGAGATTAATTTAACCATCAGAAACTCAAAATAATAAGTTATCGCAACTAAATAAATTAAGTTGATTTGACAAAAGAAAAAATGTTGTGATAGCAAATCATGAAAATATTTTTTTTTACAGTTTTTTAAACAGTCTAAAGCACATATAAAGTGCTTGATTACAATTCTGAGTAATTAGACTGTTTAAAAAAAGCTGTGTCATGAAAGTGTACACTTAAGCGTTTTTTTATATAATTAATATATTATCCGCAAGTTTTTAGTATACTACAATTGCATATTTAATACAATTCACTGTAAAAAACGATTGTGATTTTAACGGTAAAAGACCTTTACTATATACGGTAAATAACTGATAGATCTAATGGTAAATTTAATGTAATTTTACTGTAAAATACCGTTAAATTTACAGTTTTTAAAGTGAAAATGAACAACTCATTGTATAATTTACAATGTAATAAAGTAAATTGACATTCCCACAATTCCCTGCGTGACACTTCGCATTTGATGTATTTTTTGTTGAAATAACTTGTTTCTTCATAGTTTGCTTAGTCTTTTTCTAACCAGTTATGTACATTAGGGTTTTATGTGACATTTAATGTTGTTAAATTAATGTTTTTTTAAATTGCATCTTTTACCATGATGGTGCAGCTTCAATATATTAATATGAAGTTTCTTGTGGAAGATCTGCATGTGATGAGCTTCCATATATTATGTGACTCATCACTGCTGTGATTGTTGGTTGTCAGTATATTATAATATATTATATATAATAATATATTATATTATATGGTACAAAACAGATTTTAATACTTCAATTGGTCAATAATTTAACATAATATCAGACAATGAAATGCGGTTTATTTCTGTAAATTTTAAGTTAAGTCTGTAAAACCTTGTTACCGTAAAGTCTTGCTACCGTAAATTTCTGGCAACCACAGCTGCCGGTATTTTACCGTAAATTTAACACATTTTTGCGTTGGTGTTCACATACACTTCCATTAGATGTAATTTAAGCATAGTTTTACAATCCAAGTGGGATTTTCTGTAGTTATCAACACCGTATTCCTCCTAAATCTCGGTCTGATCTCTCCCCAGTTTGTTCCTTTCCGAGACTACATTGACCGCAGAGGGAATCACATTCTCAGCATGGCCCGTCTGGCCAAGGACGTTCTTGCGGAAATCCCGGACCAGTTCCTCCAGTACATGAGGAGCAGAGGCATCAAACCTCAGCACTCGACCCACTCCACCTCGTCCAAACCCCCGGCGTCGCTCGTGCACCCGCTGCAGACGCAGATCTGAGTGATCGCACAAACATACGGTTCACTGTCACTCTCAGGATCACACACGGCCTGTCCGAGGGAGACGCTGCTCTTGCACATGCCGTCTTTCGGTGTGTAGGGTGACGTTAGGGAACTTTACGCCTGGCACTGTCCTTTGTCGGGCGTAGCGAGGTTTCAGAAGGGGTTTTAGACTGTTTTAAAGTATCGAGTGGCCTCTTCTGTCAGTCAAACATCAGATATGACTCCACAGTCTCTGTCTCTCACATATTATCTCCGGTTCTTGTCAACAGACGTTTACAATTGTACCGTTTTTTACAAATGGATGCTTTTTTGTACCTCATGAAAACTCTGAGCTGCTTAACAATGGAATTTACTCATTTTATTACATGACGTTGTAAATAGAGCGAGTGTGATTTTAGAAAAAGCGGTACAAAACTGAGAGAAACTTTCACCCACTTGTGCGAGGCCTTGGTTTTCATTTCATTGTACAGTATTCGCTTTCAATTATTAGACTATTTCGGTATTCCGTATTCTTGGTCGTTTGACTGCCTCAAACTGTAAAGAATTTGTGCTTCGCTTTCACGGCACAAGCGCGGCACAGAGATTTAACTGGAAAAGCCTTACTCTACGTTAAAGGAACCGTTCAGCCGAAAATGAAAATTGTGTCATTATTTACTCAGCCTCAAAGCACTCCAAACATGTAAGATTTGGATTTATAGCATATAATTATTAGCACATTTTAATTAAACGCTAATGTCAGTCACTGAGCAATCCCACAAAATGTAGTTTATGGTCATGGAAAGAGAAGTATTTAACTGAGAAGGTTAATAACAAAAATAAGCATTATGCTACGTTCACACCAGATGCGAATAGCGCGTCAAATTCGTGCCTACCGCGTCTAGTTATACTCTAGACCACTTTGAATCCAAGAGCATCTCGAAAGAAGCAATCAGAATCGAAATCCGTTGGCGGCCATTTTTTTATGTCGACCGAGCATTCATCGAGAGAGTCAAACGAATGCACAAATAGCACTAAATAAGTCGCGCGTAACGCTTAAGGCGCCAGACGCGCAATTCGCGTGAACTTGAAGCGCTCTATGCCTCATTCGCGCCGCAGGAATTTTTATGCGCGTAACGCATCTTTGCATTGACTTAACATTGCATTATGCTACGTTCACACCGGACGCGAATAGCGGGTCAAATTCGCGCCTAACGCGTCTAGTTATCCATTCGCGCGTCAAGAGCGAAATTGACGTGCATAAAAAACAAAAGTTTGAAGCGAAATTTTCGCGCATCAGAATCGAAATCCATTGGCGGCCATTTTTTTATGTCGACTGAGCATTCATCGAGAGAGTCAAACGAATGCACAAAGAGCACTAACTATATCATTCGCGCGTAACACGCTTAAGGCGCCAGACGCTCAATTCGCGCTCAGTCTACTGCGCCGCGCTCTACGCTTCATTCGCGCTGCAAGAATTTTTTTATGTGCGTAACGAGTCTTTTCATTGACTTAACATTGAAATCATTCGCGCTTGACGCGCTATTCGTGTCCGGTGTTGAACGTACCATTAGAGAACATTCTGTGTAAGTTTTCATTAGGTTATGACAAAAAATTTCCCTGCAACAAGGAACATTAGTTTATGGTTATATAAATGCAACCTAGAGTAAATTAATGAATGAATGAACGAACAAACTTTTTATGTTTTTGGGTCCCAGACAGCAACATAGTGTCAGCCCAGATCCGGCCCACTTCTGGTAAGTGTGGAATCCATCGGGTACCAGATGTATGTTGCTGTCTGGGTTATTTCTACAGTTTCGTGGGTCTATGTCCCCAACGTTTTGAAGTACTTGTCAGTCAAATTCCCATGTCCCAAATCATGTTTTCTATATTAAGGTTACATATATATTTCTAAATTAGTCATTTTGAGGATAAGTTTGTTCATTTACTTATTCTCTTTGACGTAAAATACTTTTTATTTAATTTAATTGTGCAGTTGTTGTTGTTTTTTTGCAAAACCGTTAAACTAGTTTATGTCCCTAAATCTCCAGTCCACTCTATTACATTGGTTCTACTTGCTCTTTAAAATCTTATTCACAAAATCACATGACTTGCTAGAAATGACTAAATTTCCTTGTAGGGAAAGAAACTCCAAAATCAAAATAAGAATCAGACATAAACCTTTCTCTCTTTTCCCCATTTTAAAATACTTATCTAATAGCGTAAAACATAACGTCCACCCTATTGTGCCAATTTATACTGGACTTGAAATTATATATTCAAATTCTTCCTAAATGTAAATCTTCTGCTAGAATGTTATTATGTCCTAGCTAAAAATGGGCTTTATTATCTTCCCATAACGTCCACCTTGTTTGTTAAGGTCAACCCTGTTAAACATTACACATATAACTGGATGTACAGATTTCATAGGATTAGCAAAATTGAATTATTTGGTCGGAATTATTTGGTGATACTGGCCTGAGCTTGACCCGTGTGTTTCTCCCTCTGACAAGATTAAAAAATAATTAAAAAAAACAAACAAACCTGGTCAGCCCAAAATCCACAAAACTGTAGGAATGACCCTTTTATTAGTTTTTTTTTTTTACACAAAAACTCTTGAACTGTTGAAATGTTCTTGAACTAGAAACAAAAACCGAAAAAGAACGTAAGGAATAACAGGAACCATGCACCAACACTAGGGGAATGTTCTGTGTATGCTGAACACAATGGTTACACTGGGTCTGGTTCTCACACAAAGCTTCAGAAGATGTGGATTGGATTGTTTAGGGAGCTTAACAACTCTGGTCCCCACTTTCTTCACTTGTATGGATAAGAACAGCATTAACATTGAACTTAATGTCTCTTTTTCCACTTACAAAAGAGCATCAATTGTGTTTGGCATTATATGAGACTGAGTAAATGTCTACATTTTCAGTTTTGGTTGAACTATTTCTGTAAAGACAGAACTGTAGCTACTCAATATCTGTATCCAAGCACAAAAATGCAAGCACAGCCTCATAAACAAGTAGCATATGCTTTGTTTGCATGCATTAGTCTTAATTGCATGCAGTTTTGAAGCACATCCTGTTATAGTGGGTTCAAAACAATGAGATTTGTTCATTGGGTCATTCTACAATTGTGTTGGCAGATGCTTTTGCTTTTGGACAACAAAATGTCAATCTGCAATATACACTGTTCCTATTTTAGAAGATGAGAGATTTTTTTTAATTAAAATTCATTTTTAACTTCTTTGGGGGGAAAATAGAGAAATACCAGATTATTTTACATTTTAAATTGTTAAAGGTTTTTACTGGCATGCTGATAAAAAATGATAATATAATTAATCATGAAAAGTCAGTAGCATCACTGTCAATCATTTTAACGATTCCTACTAACTTTAAAATGAGTGTAAATCCACTTTTGAAATATAATTTTTCAACCTGAAATGAAAAATAATTCAAATGAAGAATGCATGGCATGTTTAAATGTGGTATATGTAAGAACTTTAATGTATTAATCACTTTTTTATTGCCAATGCGTGAACAGTTTATGAGGAAATTAAAAAAAAAAGAAAGTCTCAGCTAACACAAGCCCCTTTCACACGGCGCGTTGATCCCGGGAAATTGCCGGGAAATTGCCAGAACGCCTTCTGTGTGAACACAAACACGATCCGGGATTGAGACCGGCATCGATCCCGGGTTGGGGACTTAGTAACATTGCCAGAATCAGTCCCGGAACGCACGCTGTGTGAACAAAAGCCAGGACCAATGCCGTAAGGGGTGTCATCGCGCGACTCTGTTGCTCTTAGAAGAAAGTTTCTGTTCGTCATCAACAAAGAAAGGACGAACAAATGTCTGCAAACTGGAATGAACCAGAGACCAGGAGCTCCTCACTATATGTGCTGAAGCTGAGATCGTTCACAAGCTTTGTGGAACGGTATACGCGTGTACATGTTTTCGAGGCGTACGTTACACGTCTCATCCTGGCGTCATGTGTCTTCCCGGGATTTTTACGGGTTGTGTGTCACTGGCAAATCACTGGCAGTGTGAATGACCCGAAATCAAACAATCCCGGCACAAAAGCCGGGTCAAATTATCCGTGTATTTTCCGGAATCTCTGTGTGAAAGGGCATACATATAACCATGGTTCCCTGAGAAGGGGAACGAGACACTGCGTTCTCTAGAGGACACTATGGGATCACCAGTGTCTGAAGCATGTTTAAACGTGACAATATAATTGGACGATTACAGTCATTGACGTCACTACCGATGTGATCGTGAGTTTAAAAGGGCACCTGTATTAGAAGTTGCATGGGAATGAGAGGCAGTGTCTCATTCACCTTCTCAGAGAACCATGGTTACATGCTTGACTTGCACTGCATCCTCTAAAGAATGCAGAGAATGTTTCTCAACCCTGCTCCAACACTGCACATTTTATTTGCCTCCCTAATCAAACCCAGGTTTGAGAGATACTGCTCTAGAGGACACTATACCCACTTCGCAATGCTGAGGGAATGACTGCCTAATTAGGCCAGCACCTAAGCTCAAAACCCTTAAGACGAGTGGAGCTCAAAGATCTGAGAATGCCAACCTTTATTCCAGACATTATCTTTAAGGGAAACAATTCTCTTGCCTGTCACTCACAACCTATGGGTGCTGTCTTACTTAAAGGACCCGCTATCAGGGGGAGACAGCTTCAACCTTAGTATTGACTCATGAAGGGGCCACCCGCTTAGGGATCCAACCTCTAGGGAGGCAACCGCAGCTTCATTTAATATAAGGGAGCTGCCTACTTGTTGGACCTCCAATTACTGTAGTTGGAGGCACCAACCTTATAGGGATCTGGTTCAACCCCTCAACACCACAGGGGAGCATTTTATGAGCAAAATGCTCAACCCCGTCTGACCTTCTACGCTTCTCGTAAGGCCACCACTCCTAAAAGATGTTCAACCAATAAGAAGAGATATAAATTTCAGGAGAAACCACTTCTCACCAGAGGCCAGAGATGAGTTATCTGGGGAGCTGGGGACTCAAAGCATCAGGACTTGAGCACAACGATGCTTTAAATGAAGGGAGCCCAATGCTCAAGATTATAATACCCAATTTTGACTAGGTTAAACGCAGGGACAATAGACCCTAATGAAGAAACCCTTTAAGGGATGAGTGAACTACGCTCACTAGAGGAAACTAGTAAACGGCTGCAAAGTGTTAGTCATGCTATAGTCTCCAAAGTCTCCTGAGTGTGGAGGACCTAAGAGAAGGTCTCCCAGTAAAAGAGAGGATTCCCTCTACAATAACGCCTGCAGTCAGGGGATCATCTTGAGCTCTCTTGTGGGAGCAGAGGACCCAGAACCCAAAGGGCAGGCCCAGGTTCAACCACATTATTGATCTCCAGCTTACACATGGGAGCTGCCTTCTTAATAACCTGTTATAGCGGAGGCTGGTACGACATTGCAAATAATAAGTTTGCATTCTGCATCTTAGGGTAAACTGCCTGTTGAAGAACCCTTAATAGGAAGGCAGTTTCATCTGGATACATGAAGGAGCCTCCTACTCAGGGGACACCAATTCTGGGTGACTTCAGGAAGCCATGACTCAACCACAAGGGATCTGCCTGCTTATAAGACCCCAATCAGAGGGAGGCAGCTGCAACCCTGAAACTTAAGCATATCACAAAAGGGACCCACCAACGAAATCTTAAAGGAGGCAGTTGCCCCTAGGTTAACATAAGGGAGACTGTGAGTCCTCGAAAGCTGAGAAAGTCCCTGCTTAGAGCCCATAATGGAGAAGGTACAACTCGTTCTACCAGACTCAAGGGGAGCTTCCAACTTAAAAAAGAACTCCTCAGGGGTGGGGATACTCCATTAAATATCTGTGAAGGAACTGCCTAATTAATTTAACCGAAGTGGTATATTGCTATGACTCAAGAAGGGACGCCTGCTTAGGGACCCAACCTCTGGAAAGGCTGCTGCAACTTCACTAGACATAAGGGATCTGCCCACTTGTTGGACCTTCAATTGCTGTAGTTGGAGCCACCAACCATATAGGGGGATCTGGTTCAACCCCTCAACACCACAGGGGAGCATTTTATGAACAAAATGCTCAACCA